CGGGGGGGGCTTGAGAGGGTTGGGGGGGTGACAGGGCTTGGGAGGCCTGGGTGGCCATAGTGGATGGGGGGGTTGGGGGGGTCGGGGTCGATTGGCACACTGCCATAGGGCTGGCGGGTCTGGGTACAGGTGGGGCTGCGGCTTTCTTGGCCTTGGTGACAGGAACTGAGGAAGAAGGCTTTTTCTTCCTCTTTCCTTGAACTACCTTAAACTCCTGGTCATCCGATGAGAGGTCATCGGATGACGGGGGAGGGGAGGGTGCTTGGTCCTCTGAAGGAGGACTTTTCGGGGGGGAGGAGAACCGGCGGGGAGATTTCGGTGGGGAAGGGGTAACGGCGGTGAGAGGTACTTGACCGGTGGCGAGGGGGGGAGTCGGCGCGGAAGCGGGGTGGGGTCCGCGATCATCTCCGGGGGGAGTCCTTGTTTGATCTCCTGGGAGGAGACCCGGAAGTAGGCCGAAGCCTGAAGTCCCGTTTCTTAGGCGGGGGGGTGGTGGTGGAGGGGGGATAAACCCAAGTCTCCCAATAACGCCTGGAGGCGTGAGAAAAAGGTTCCTTGGAGGTCTGGCCTGGAAGCCAGACTCTTCAGGATACATTCTAGTATTTCCTTAGACATCTTAGAAGGGCTATACCTACGGCAGTCCCCTAAAGATGCCCACCCTGAACGCTTTCCTAGCGTTTGACACCCGAGAAGAAAGCGCCAAACAAACTCGGGCGACGCTACTGCCGGTGGCCTGAAGGGCCGTTGAACCTGTCCCTCTGGGCGGAATAAACCCAGAGGTGTGTAGCCTCGCTGCCGGGTGTTGGCAGGGAGGTGAGTGGGTGAGTACCTAGGGTGTGCCCTAAGCTTGTAACTCCCGTTGCCAGTCTTAATGTGAAACGGGGTCCCTATGCGCCTTAACGCACTTGTTAAGGCGGAGCTGCGAAGAGAACGGGTAAGACAACTGGGTACAGCTAGGGGAGCCCCCAGAACTGTGGTCCCAGCGCCCTTCCGATATTAGACGTTGTCCTGAAGGGGCAAACGCCGGTGTGATCGGGTCCCACACCACCTGGGTTGTTGTCACCGTCGGGTTACCCCCAGGTACCGCTAAACTGCGGTTTTGAAAACAAGCGCAGACTAATACTGAAAATGAGAAACGGGACTGCGCTAACGCCTTGAAAAAGGCGCGCGCAGTAATATAGCAGTGCTACGATTTGCTACGGCGTAGCAGTTACTTATAACATACTTTGAATATAATAAATTTGGATTACCCAGGGTGTTCGGATGGCTATGAGGCGCCGCAACAAGGCGTTTTGTAGGTTTAGGAGGGATCGTAGCCAGGAAAACTGGAGTCAGTATAAGACAGCGAGAAATCGGTGTAACCAGATGGTGAGAGCTGTCAAACGCCGATACATTTTTGATAATGTTCAAAACTCTTCGCATGCTGATATATGGTTGATTAAAAACTCTGGGCGTTTGTGACACTTCAACAACAACGTCCTTGTCTCTGGACTTTGACCTTGAAGTTTCATTCTTACTCTGTATGACTGTGGTAGATCTATCGATGTGTCTCCTATAGCTTTAATATTGAGAGGATCAGGTTTCCCTGGTGCACCTACTTGCGTTACTAGTTCCTCGTCCACTAGTGAGACGGTGGATCCATCGTCGAGAAGGGCGTATGTACGTACCTCTCCCGCCGGTCCTGAGACACACACTGGCACTATCTTGAGGAAGGCTTGTGCCTTCGTACGAGCACTTGAACTAGCCACTGTTTCCGTCGGTTCCTTGACGGTAGTTGGGTCACTTTTCTGTTTAAAATGTAAACTTTGATGATGTGTACGTGAGCATCCGTCAACACCGCACTGTTTAGATTTACATGAATGGCCGCGTGACCTCACTTTTAAGCACCGAAAGCACAATGCATGTCTTTTAGCTAGCTCCCAGCGCTTGTTGGAGTCAGCCTCTATAAATGTGTCGCACTGAGAAGTGAAGTGTCCGTCGCGCATACATATTTTACACTTACGCACTTTGGTCGTGTTGTCACTTTGCTCCCGATTAGCGTCCTCTGAACGGTTCAGCACGCACTATCACTCGCATTCACATTTTCAGCGGGCGCGAACGCACTACAATAACACGCCTGTTCACTGATGAATTCACTAAAACACTTTAGGTCCGGCGTCGATTGAAACTGTTCTGTGTATGCGCGATACCACTGGGAGCGTAGGGAGTTTGGCAGCTTCTCAGTGAGTCCTCTCAGTACCTCCGCATTGATCAAGTAGTGATCCTTCCTGAGCGCGCTCAGCGTGATGACGGCACTCCTCACTTTGTTCGCGAATGTGCAAATGTCTCTTGGGGCCTCGGTGCAGCGTGGAAGACTCTTTATTTTGTCGATTTCCGCTTGCGCAATGGAGTCAGGTCGGCCGAACTGTAATTCCAGTTCCTTCATTATCTCGGCCGGATTAGATTCCCCGATGAGTTCAGAGTTCACTGCTTCGAGTGCACGTCCCTTTAGGCTTCTTCCCAGCCTAGCTGTATTTTCCACATTGTTGAAGTAAGTTTTCGTAGTGTCTTACATAGCCTTGAAAGACAGCCACTCTGTGTGCGCGCCGCTGAATGTCGGTAGCGCCATGATCACCTTAGATACCGCTGGGTGAGGCTGGCTGCTCGGCGTATCTGACTTTCTATCAGCGAGTGTTGTGATTGCCTTCGTAAGTTGTGAGACGAACGATCTCAGCGGGTCGTCGTCTCGCTCGATCTTAATGGAAGGACTTCTGTCTCTGTCTTGTGTCTCTTTGACATGATTGTCCTCAGTCGGCCTGTGCTCCGGTTGTTTGTTGGTGTCCGTATTTAGCGGCACCGGTCTAGGTGCGTCCTCCACCCATGAGCGCACATATTGTGCTTTCGGTCTAGTCGGAGTCTATGTAGTCTTCAGCCTTTTGTAATTCTAATTCGGCTAACTGTAATTTGAGCCGCAGTACCTCCTCGCGTGCTTTTATGGTTTTTCTATTATTCTTTACTGACGCAGGTCTGCTTGTGTGAATTGGTTGTTCACCCACACTGTGCGCAAGCGTGTGCAGCGCGGCTGGCCTTAGCGTTCTCGTTCTATTTTCGATCCGCGGTAGTCCATAGTCTCTGTTCGGTGTTGACTCTCTCCTCATATCTCTGTAGGCGGTGGGTGTAGATATGGAAGCTGGCCTTCCTGTCGCACGCGGTGGAGTCGTGCGATGCGGTGAATTCGCGGGGCATGTCGGAGTCGCGGGGTGCGACGAGGTCGCGTTGCGCGGCAGGTTTACACGGCGCGGAGAATTCTTCATGCTTCATGTGGCTATCGACGGCGAGCGGGGCGGCTCTTCATGTCGGACTGCAGTCAGTCAGGACATCCACGATCCATGCTTCTGGGGCTTTACCCTATGATCGCGTCGTTGGCATCTTCCTTTCTCTTTCAGGATCTTGAAACTTGGGTTTAGGTGTCGTCGAAGCGAAGTGCAGACTCAAAGTAAACAATTAACCGCTACTTCAGCCGTCAGTGAGAGGTCAATGTCAAGCGGGCAAGCTTCTGTTCCTGTACATGTACAGAGGGAAATTGTAATGTTGGCCGCAACGAAGTGGTTGATTTGGAAATTATTGGAAATTCAATATACCAATTATCAAAAAAGATAATTACAAAACATTGCATTGTATGTGTGCATTTTTGGGATATATATTTATTTTATAATTTATTGTAAGTTAGAATAATATACTGTCAAATAAACCTGCCAAAATAACCCGCCAAATAAACCTGCCAGAAGTAAAGTGTATGTTAGAATAATTTAATTAAGAAATAGACCGGCGGTTTGCTAACGTCGAATTAAACCAATTAAATGCAGAAACCACAATTTTAGACCCTATAAAGGAAGGTTTAAAGGAAGAGGGTTTATTCAACAAAATTTTAAAACATGCAACATACATGAAAATGTTAATCATAACAATTATAATTTTTTAAACAAATTTAAAAGTCTCTCTCTCGGTAATAATATAACAAAATAAATGTCTTTCTCTCTCGTTAATAATTTAAACAAAAAGTTTGGCATACATACGTAAATGTGTCGTAAAAACGTTACAATATTATCTGTGCGTCTATACTATGCACACCTCGTGCGCCGGTCATAGGTGATAAGATTGTGGAATAAAAGGCAACACTTTATATACAAACACTTATTTATTACACAGTCACATATTAGAAAAGGTACGATAATCAACACTAAATTACTGTACAAATGTCTGGAAAGTTTTACGAGTTATCATACACCTATTTCTACAGAGTTTGCACAATGTTATTTCCTTTCACTATTTTACGAACACTCGCACAAATTTATGTGACCGATGATTGACGAACTGTGTCGACGGGCTGTAAAACTGTTACAATAGTTGCCCCGGACTGTGCGACGTACGTACGGTGACGGTACACCGGTCGCACTTTCTGCTCTGTCCAATCCCAGCCCGAGCGAAGGAGAAGTTCTCTCCGTCTCACTCTATTTCTCGGGCGGGGAGACCTCTTCTGGACAGAACAAAACTGCTTTTTCCGGGGCCTCTTTTAATGATATTTTATTTATTTTGCTCGTCTCCTACACCATTTTATTACTAATTTAATAAATTACGGTTATAAATGGTGTAGGAAGACGGCGTCGATCGGAAGTACAGCCCGTCGATACGTTTTTAATGGATTTTACTTAAGTGAACAACGAATTTCTTAATTCTTGTGCGAGTATTCACGTGTTATTAACAATTTTTACTATTTTATGACTACTTATTATCTAAGGTAAATATCTACTTATTATCTAGAGCAAATTGCCGCTTATTGTCTAGGGCTTAGTATCTTTAATTCTCGTCGTCCTGCACAT